CGAAATAGGGTGAATACATCTCATTACACTGATTTAATGGTAGTCTCGAAACCCTACTCTAATACGAATAAATAGAGGGCCAGTCAAGAGCAAGAAGCAACAAAATAAAGGGAACAATTAGGCTTAGTTAATTTTACAACCAACATGCATGCAATACAAGCGTATAAATGCTCATGCAAACGCATGTAGCCATATATATGTGCATTCATACGAGTACCTAAGATTATGCCAAAAAAGGATAAAGGTAATATGCATCATTCCGAAATTCGCTTCGTAAGCCGGAAAGGTCTGGCTTCCGAATTTACTGGGCATAAAGTTGTACTTAAAAGTTGTTTCGCTACTAATATAATAGCCCCATAGGAGAAGAAAGAAAACGTTTAAAGAGAAGTATTAGAAAGATTTCTGGTGGTTGTGGAGGTTCAAATGAAGATGCCGCTCACGAACTTGATAGAAGAATGAAGACAACTTTGTAAAATTTAGTCACCATACGAGATAAGGGCAATGACAAAGTGTGAATGCTATCTTTAATGCATACTGTCCATTTTAATCGGTCATTAGCCACGATTGCTTTATCATCGTCTTGCTACCCAAAAGTTGTGCAGCACGTCTTTGAAAGGCCCTTTCTGTTCTGTTTTGTCAACTTTGGGATCCAGTCCAGAATTCTAGTTAAGTCCCCTGCATTCAGGCGTATTAATCCAAGGGCGAATACATTGACACAGTACTAAAAGCTAACGAGTTAAGCACTATTCAAAGCATAGCTGAAGAACAAAGCCTAAACTCATTACTACTGACTATGATCTTAAGTGAGTCTTAAATAAAAGAGACCTGTCTTAGTGCTGTTATAACTAATTAGGTTGTAGATATAAGGGATTATAGAGTTGGTAAGTTATATCGTGTTTCGTGTGGTGTGGCAGAAAGAAAAGTGGGTTTATTCAGTGGATTTTAGAAGGCGGTTCTTATCTAGACTGAACTACAGCTTAATTCTGGTCTCATCGTTTAATCAGCGTCCCCAGATGGATTAGCGAGCTTAGGGGCCCTGGCCCCCTTATTTAACAAAGAATATATATTCACGTCACTTTGATAGTCAAGGTCACGCTGTGATTGATTGAGAGTTTAGTTGTGTCTATACGTGTTAGAATATCAGTTTCCCAACCCACACTACTCGGTTTCGAATACCACTTAAGGTGACGATTAAGGCTTGTCGAAGACTTAAGAATAGCTTGGTCTGGATGATATAGTACATTGTATGAAGTACATAGAAATGAAGACAAAGATGGCGTGTTCTTCTGATTGGTCACTGTCTACTATAGCTGTATAATGTTAG